CCCCAAAACCCCAAAACCCCAAAACCCCAAAACCCCAAAGCTGACTTCACAGTCTGAAAATTTGTACGTTAATATTTACCAGTTAAATTATATAATAGTTTGCAAAACAAATAGGGAGATGAGTAGACAGCCATTTATGCCAAAAGTTGAGAAGATGGACACCATTAAGCAGGTCAAAATCGAGCCTGATGAAAGCTTCAATGAAGACTTTGAAATGGAAAGCTCCCTTTTCTTTAATGAATCAGAGTAAGCATCCCGAGGGGTTTAGAGGAATAACTCAGATAATAATCATTACAAATAGGAGTTTTACAGAGAGCATTCGAGCAAGCACTCAGTACAGGAAAACAATTAATGAAATCACTGAGTTCAAGGTTGATGCAGATTCTAAGGAGGACACGAGAAAGTTCATCAGGAGTAATTATCAAATATATTTTATTTCTAATAATCATAGGTTCATGCAATAATCTCGTTGATCAATATATTCAGGAGGAGACCAGGTAAATTCCCTTGCTTAGTTAGAAATACTCAATAGTTTCTCATAATATTCTAGTGAAATGGAATCTCCTGGCGGAATTGCGGTGTCCACTCCATACTTAAGCACTTTGAAGAAGGAGACTGGAAGAAGCTCTCCTAAGAAATATATCTTGATGTCAGATGCAAAGCCAAAGGAGAAAACTTCTGCAAACAAGTTCACTATCGGAAGTCAGAAGAGTCCTAAAAGATTAACAGAATTTATCCTAGGTACTAGAGAAAGCTTCCATGTGAAGGAAAAACCAGAATTTATGTAAGAATTTCTTATAAAATACTTAGATCTATCAAAGATAACGTTCAAGAAGATTATGAGAATCTGAGCGCTCAGAAGGAGAATATCAACGTGAAGGAGTTAATAGAGAAATACTCCCCCTTCAAAGTTCAGAGTGCATTGGATAAGACTCCTCAGCGCAAAAGCTCGGAGCATTCTCATAATTTCTGTAATTAAGGCTTATAACCATTTAGCCAACTCGAACATAGAGGAAAAGAAAGTTGTATCGATGAATTTTAACAAGTATTCTACATCCAAGAATAATAAATCTGGTCAAAAGATACCTGAAGCAAGGAAGTGCTCAGGAAGTATGAATGCTTCCTCGATCGAGTTTGCCCAGGCCGATCAAGACCTTTTCAAGACATTTGAGGAATACAATGAAGGTGACTACACTTATGAGACATTTGAAGAGGTCCTTATTGAAGAACAGGATGGCTCAAAATGGTTAAGAGTTGACAAAGGTAAATTAAGTTTGGCTAATCTTATAGACAAGCTAAGAGCTATCCAAGAAAAATATAAAGGCACTAAGCTTGGACGGGCTTTCAACCACAATTTCATCACTTGAAATCCGAATATAAGGAAGAAGGAAGTTAGGTTTGAGAAACCACATAATTATCCACATGGGTTTACCAAAGGAGAAGATGCTATGCACAAAGTTGAGAAATATGAAAACCAAGATCGGTACAAGAGCGCCTCGCATGAAAGAGAAGTCACCCAAAGAATGAATAGGTACAACTCACAAGATAATATAATGAGTGTTTCCTTAAAGAGCAAGCTTAGTCCGAGTAACCTGCACATGACCTCCCAAGACAGAAAGGTTAATAGGTCAAACAGTAATTCCCAAAGAAGGTATAACCTCTCTAGCTTCGTAAAAGAAGCCGGTAAGGCTTTTAGTATAAACTGTATGTAGAAAATAAATCTGCCCAAAAGCCAAAGAAAATGAAAAAGGACGCCTTTGATAAGATCTACAGAAGATTTATGGAAAGCAAGAGATCAGTAGAAGTTAAAATTGATGAGAAGAGAAGAACTCAACGGATAAAGGAAGAAAATGAGTTCAGAGAAATTGAAAAAGCCAGAAAAAGAGTTGGCAGCAAGACTAGAATCAATAATTATATCAAGAAAGTTCAAGATGATATTCAAAACCGGATGTACAAAGCTGAATGAATGAAGCATAAATAAGTGCTTAGATCAACAAAGAGAACAGCAGGAGTGGTTTAAACCTCAGACTAATGTACAAAGGTATCAACAGGAGTATGTAATAGCACAAGGAAACAACTTACAGAACTATACTCCAGTGGATGAGGACATAGTCACCTTTGAGCAATCTAAAGAATTTAACCATCTTGATTATGACATGTACAGGATTTCTGAAAGAGATAGGATACATGAAATGGATGAAGACTTTGAGAAGCTAAAGCAGAAGAAAGAAAATCTCCAAAAAGTGACTGATGAGCTTCTATACCCAAAAGTGACTGGGAAAATTCCTAACAATAAAGATGTCTTCATCATAAATAAAGTTAATGGAAGGAATTCTGAGTACTGAGGTACCTCTATGACGACCAGTCATGAGACATATACAAGTAATATGAGAAAAATTAGGAAGAAATCAATTGCAAGTGTCAAAAAGGGGTCTGCTTCACAGAAGAGTCTGCTTTGTCTGAGTGGTTCTAAATCTAGAACTAAAATGATCAGATCTCCTGTGTCAAAGCCTGGTGAGAATCTTCATAGTATGTGGGCAGATTACATCAATGACAAGAACATGTAAGCTCGAGGTAGATTTCTACCAAACTGAGTATTTCCGTTAAAGCACCCAATGAAATAGCTCTGTTGGAGTTTATAAATCTGTTAAATTTATTTGAATCAATATAAAGTTGAATGCTTGGGGTTTTGGGGTTTTGGGGTTTTGGGGTTTTGGGGTTTTGGGG